GTTGTAATTGTGAATGATCATTGTTTGGGTCCAGATAAGGGACTACTCGGAATGAACATAATTAAACCTGTCTGGTCCATTCTTACACAGGGCAACCACCTGGGACTGCTGGCATTCAGGACAACCATGCCTCCTGCGGAGGGGGAAGTCTGGTCCAAAGATTTTTGCTGACTGTCAGCGAGTGACAACCGAAGTACCAACCCCACGATATGAAGGAGTCGACAAGCTGCCTCGTCAGTCAGCAGTTATTATTCTCCACAATCTGAAATGGTGTTATTTCTACAGGTAACTGATAAGATCTCTAACACCCCTTACCATGTTCTTTTGGAGCCTTTTGTAGAAAACGGTGACTGGTGTGTGGGACATACCTTGGCCACTGTTGTGAGTGGGCAGGTCCCATGTAGGGTCTGTAACCCCAACCCCTACACAGTGGAGGCCCCACGACAGCCCCTGGCCCGAGCCACAGAGGTTACAACCACAGACCAAGAACTGGGGCCAAGAACTGGTGCTTAACCCTGTGGCCCCAGACATTGTAGAGGTAGCAGTGCGGCAAGTGGGTACTGCAGAAGGCCACGATGAAGGCCTGTGCTATCTCTACAAGGGGAGGGTTTTACGGCAGACCAACAGGAGGAGATGACGATGGTGCTGCACAAATGGAGGCACATCTTCTCACTCCATGAGGAGGACTTTGGGCACACAGGAATCATTAAGCATCAGATCCCAACAGGCACCGCACCTCCAAGTCGCGAGCGGTATTGGCCGGTACCCCCTAGTTTGTACCAAGAACTGCAAACACTTTCAAAGAATATGTTGGAGAGTGGGGTAGTCAGGGAGAGCTCTAGTCCATGGGCAGCCCCAATTGTATTGGTGAAAAAGAAAGACGGTAGTTGGAGATTTTGTGTGGACTACAGAAAACTTAACGCTCTCACCTACAAGGATGCCTATCTCCTGCCCCGCATCAAGGAGTCTCTAACAGGACTAAAGGCTGCTCAATGGTACTCCACTCTTGACCTGGCCAGCGGCTACAGGCTGGTAGAAGTGGACCCTGCTGACAGGGAGAAAAACGCATTCACTACTCCGTTTGGTCTGTGTGAGTTTAAGCAGATGCCATTCGGACTATGCAATGCCCCGGCCACATTCCAGAGACTCATGCAGCGCTGTTTGGGTAACCTAGTTAACGATTCCCTCTTGATTTATTTGGATGATGTTGTTTTCTCCCCAGATTTCCACAGCCATGTGAAGCACCTGGAAGAGGTCTTCCAACGGTTGGACCAACACGGCCTTAAACTGCAGCCCAAGAAGTGCCACTTATTTCAGCGCCAAGTGACATACCTGGGGCACATTATTAGTGGGGAAGGAGTGGCAACCGACCCCACTAAAATTGCTGCGGTAAGAGATTGGCCGATACCCCAGACGGTGAAACAAGTGAAATCATTTTTAGGCTTTGCTGGATATTACAGTAGATTTTTCCCAGACTTTGCCAAAATTGCATTACCCCTTATTAATGCCCTCACCCGAAATTTTACCCATAATAAAAGATCCACCTTACTGACTTGGACTAATCAGTGTCAATAAGCTTTTGATCAGCTTAAAGAGGCTTTAATAAATGCTCCCATCCTGGCATATGCAGACTTTTCCCAGCCTTTAAGGCTATATACTGATGCTTTTGATGGCCTTGGAGCTGTATTAGCCCAGGTCCAGAATGGGAGGGAGAGGGTCATTACCTATGCTAGTAGGAGCCTCCAACCCTCAGAACGCAATGATCAGAACTATAGCTCGTTCAAGTTAGAGTTGTTGGCCTTAAAGTGGGCAGTGACGGAAAAATTTTAAGACTACCTGTATGGGTCAGAGTTCACAATCTTCACAGATAACAACCCTCTCATGCACCTCGCAACTGCTCATTTAGGAGCAGCAGAACAGAGGTGGGTGGGTCAACTCGCAAACTACAGGTACACAATCAAATATCGACCCGGCACACAAAATAAAAATGCTGATGCTCTTTCCAGGCTCCCAGAACAATAAAGACTGGGGAGAATCTTGCCCTCACTGTGTTTGTAACAAAGTTGACCCATCTGGAAGAGCCCCCCTACATCCCATTTGTACATCATACCCGTTTGAGGTTGTGGGTATAGACTACCTCTCCCTGGGACGCCCAAATTACCTGTACCAATACATTCCTGTTATCACTGACCTCTTTTCAAAATATGCCATTACAGTGCCCACCAAGGACCAGTCTACAGACACCACAGTGCGTGTCCTATATACCCATCTGATCCATACCTTTGGCTGCCCAGAACGTATTTTAACCGATCGCAGCACTGCTTTCAAATCTTCCCTTATGAGTCAACTGTGTGGACTTTATGGGTGCTAGAAAAGCAGGACTACAGCATACCACCCACAAGGTAACGAAGCATGCGAAAGATTTAACCAAAGTTTGTTAAGACTTTTAAGCTCTTTAACAGAGACTGAGCAAGCAAAGTGGCCCAGCAGGCTTCCCACCTTAGTACAAGCTTACAACAACACAGTACACAGTACCACAGGAATGACCCCTCACTATTTGGTGTTCGGAAGGCACACAAGACTCCCTGTGGACTGGACCACCGGTCTTGGACCCACTGTTCCGAGCTGTACCTTAGATGACTGGGTGAAACAACATCACACCGCCCTGTGTTACGCTTATAAGACTGCAAAACAACACTCGGGGCACAAGAGCAGGACAAGATGAGGCTAGATACAATAGTAGAGCCAGACTGATGACACTATTGCCAGGTGAGCATGTTTTAATCTGTAATTTTCACAGGAGAGCCAGAGGGATATTGACCCCAAGATGGAGCCCAGAACCATATGTAGTGGTGAGACAATTGAGAGAGGACCACCCAGTCTATGTAGTGTGTCCGGAAGGCAGGGAGGGCCCCACATGCACAATACATCGTAATAACTTGCACCTCTGTCCTGTTGATTTTGTGCAGGAGAACCCAGAACCATCAGAACCAGTTACCCCAGCGCAACAACCAGACCAACTGCTCCCTCCCACTGTTTGGTTACCTAGACTAATGCTTAACCAGAATGTACCTCAAGAAGGACTTGAAGCCCCACCACAAGGTGGCCAACCAGATCCTCTAGATGAACCAATGCCAATGCCTCTTGCGCCGCTCTCAGCGCCCCAATATAGGTGTGGTCCCTGTCAGATACCACATGTAATTGGCCGAGATGACCAATGTTAAAGGTGTGGGGAAATGTCAAATGTGAGTAGAGCACTTGTTTTTTTTACTCTGTATGTATTTTATTTGTGGTGATTTTATTTGTGGTGATTTTAGTGTTGTGTTTTTTATACTGGAGTGAAGGACTGGGTGGACTGAACTAATTAAACATTCCCTCCCACCCAGTATTATTGGCGTTGGCCGTAGCAGCAGGAGCTTGAAAAGAGACAGAGGGCATGAGTGGGAAGCGGACCTGGGGTGTGCACGCGTGACACCGGAACCAGAAGAGACAAGGCAAGACAGGTGCAGGAGCGGGAACGCGGCAACAAGGACAGATACAACACCTGAAAAGAGCTAAATAGAGGGATGTATCTGGGGGACCTTGTGGGCGTGTGGGCAGCCAGACAGTAGAACAGGCCACACTAGAGTTAAGAGTTACTCTGTTTCCGCAGCGGCTCTGGAGCCGGAGGACCCATGGCAGAGCGGAGGCGGAGGCCTGGATGCGGGGGGGACGTGGCAGCTCTAATCACATGCATGAAAGTGCTAAGTAAAGGGACGTCACTTGGTCAACCCTGGTGTGCATTGTGGCTGATCAAAGGCGGTCCTTCTCGTAGTCTGAAAGACTTTGTTTTAATCTTGTTTTATAGACAACTACGTGGTGTGGCGGTGGTTGGACCAGAGGGACTATCGAGCCAGATCTGCACGGACCCTCAAACAGTGACCGCAGCACCCGACTCCTTTTTAATTCAGATTTTAGCCGAACCAGCTATTCTCATTTTAAATGTTGTGCTTCACTGACTAAACTTTTAACTGACTGCATATCCGCCCATTTCTTTCCAAACAGTTTGGTAGAACTAAAGAATCTGACAAAAGCTCTAAAGTCACACTCATCCTTTCACTCTGGCACAGAAGCACATATAGTGTTATAGTACCTGAGTCCTGCAGCAGCTCTCTCAGACTGGAGTCAGTGTTTGACTGTCTGAGCTCCCACAATGTGCCGCTTTAAAACAAAAGTGATCTCACTGCTTGCCACCATTTTACATCAGATGAGCCTAAAGGATGCCTTCAGGGACCTGCAGCCCTCAGAGTTTCACCTTTGTTTTGGAACGACACTTGGACTTTGGGAGTTCCGACTTTCATTGTTGGTCTGAGTTTTGAGATCCAGGTTCACTGAAGACCCGAGCTCCAGTTGAACAGAGCAGAGTTACTCAACCCAGGTCTAACATTACCCAAAAGCATCAGATGTTGTCAGGCCTCCAGACCAACCTTTGAGTTTGGTTTCACTAGTGTGCCACTTTTTAATTGCAGGCCTGTTTGAGCCTTTGCACATGGTTCTTTTGAATGCTGTGCATTGAGACACAGATAGTCTGAGACAATAGTGCACCTGAAAATGTAATTTATTCACATTGGCCTGTTGACCCGTTTATGTCAGACAAAAAATGTCTCCACTCCATCTGATCGTCTCCTCTGCTCCTCCATCCATCTGCATCCTTTGGTCTAAACCGTCTCAACATTTTTGCCTTCATCTCTCTAATTATTTGTGGATTATTTGTTACTTTTTGCCTGTATTTAATTTATTGTAGAATGGTAACCAAATCCCTCTTACGTTGCCCTGGGGCAACAAGTAGAACCATCTATTATTTTCCAGTTCGGTGCATGTAACATAAACATTGTTTTGTGTTGTCACTGTCCTTGTCTGTTTTACAAATGGACCATGAGTCAAGAATAAAGATGAACTGAACTGAAGTTGAACTAACACTCTGCCAGGGCCGTCCTGAGTCGTCCATTCTTTCGTCATGATTATAGACTGGGGGTTTGGGTACATCCAGGGGCTGAAGGAGGCCTCGTCTTTTTCTGCAGATCATGTGTGTGAGCAGTGACAGTATTTGGACAGGCCTGCAGGTGGCAGCAGAGGCGAGACAACAGGACCGGCCTGAGGCTCGGGTCCTTGAGTCCGTAAGTTAGAGCCGACAGACAGCGCGGCATCATCACCACAAAGACGTAAATCACCACAAAAAGCTGCCCAGACGAAACCTGGTCTGCCCGAACAGCCACACTGCTGAAGATGGGCAGTCCCATGGTGGACAACAGGTTTAGACTTAACTGAAACGTGTGCAGGAGCAGAGTGTTCCGAGCTTTGTCTGCAGAGACCTTATCTGTGGAGGCAGAGATTGCGACCACCATCACACCGATGAAGGACGATGCGATTACTAAACCTGAGAAGAGAAACAGCACAACAGTGGATATCGTCTCGTAGATCTTAGATCGAGGTCCAAGCAACAAGGCTGTAGAGATGCAGTAGAAGTTCATCTGAAGGCTGGGGAGCAGGTGAAAAGGGAATTCAAGAAGAAGCAGGACCCGAACCAAAATGTCCACACAGCCCAACCCCCAGACACAGAGGACGGCAAAGGCCGTGTTCCTCGTGGTGACTATGGTGGGGTGATGAAACGGGAAACAAACAGCAATGTAGCGCTCGATGGACATGACTGTCAGAGTGAGAGGAGCGATCTGTGAGCTCAGGTAGGAGATCATGATAAATAATCCGCACAGAGGGTAGGACAGATTCAGGTTAGCAGTACTGTACATGTACAACAACTGCGCTGTGAAGAGCACGATGGAGTCCCCCACCACCAGGTTCAGCAGGAGCATGTACCGCGGTGTCTCCCTGAACGCAGGTCGACTGCACAGGGTGTGGATGATGATGCCGTTTATGACCAGGAACATGAGGCTGGCTAGGTTAGTCAGCACGACAAAGGCAAACTTAAAGGTGATCATCGTTGTCCACTGCTGTCCCGTGAGGTTCTGATAGAAGCTCTGCAACTCCATTGCACATAAACCACAGGAATCAGCTGGAACAGAGAAGGGAAAAAAAATATCTCAGAGATGTAATCCATTCAGTCCCTTTGGAATGAGAAAAGTAAGTCAGTAAAGTTTACTTAAAACTTTAACTATCTTCACAGACATAGATCACAAAGCGCTTCACATACAAAAGATAAAAACAGCTTATGTACAGTCATAATAAAATAATAGTCATAGAAGCTCTAAATCTAAGGGGGTAGGATTGTTTGTTCTTTTAAAACTTTTAAAAAGCATCTACATTATCTAGACCAGTGTTTCCCAAACTTTTTTTCTGGGGACCCATAGTTTAAAAGTCACAAACCTTCACGACCCAAGTCATTATTCAAGACAATATTCGTATTTCACAAGATAAAGATAGATTTGACCATTATTGAACATTAATGAGGACTTTTTATTGTTGACTGCATGATCGATGTCTCTCTGAACAATTAGTATCACTCAAGTTTTAAACGAGAAACAGAAATTGAAGCAGCAATAAAAGGATCCATAAGTCACCTATTTGGACATTCAATGTAGCCCATTTCTTTTTCTTTTCAACCTTCAATTGAACCAGCAATATTGGAACAAAATAGTCAATAAAATAATTACTAAAAGATTAGAAATGATAAAAAACATGTCTTAACATTTTAACATTTCTAATGAGATAGGTGGGCCTGTCTGTGTTTTTGTAGCATGTTCCAGTCCGGGTGCAGGATAAGACGCAGCAGCAGATCAGGCGCGGCATGCAGTCTGTTTCTGTGCTTTGTCTTCATTTTTGTCAGCACAGAAAATTCAAATTCATACATATATATATATATATAGTCGTGAAAGGAATAAGCATACAGTCACACACATTCTCATGTATCAGAACTGTACATTGCAGACCTACATGCAGATCGTGACAAGGCGACCCAAAAAAAAATCTCTTGCGACCCACCTGGTATTTGGAAAACAATGATTTAGAGAGTGTAGGTGTGGAGTCAGTTTGTTCCAGAGTTTAGGGGAGATGAGAAAGAAATCGGCCAGTACAATTTCTGACCCCATTGGCCTTTTGACCTGAAATAAGAAGTGTATTAAAACAAGTTAAATTAAATTCTACACAGACCTAACTACCTGGATACAAGTGAACTAATCTACAAATAATGTTTTTGCTGTGTAGATAAATTGCTGGATTCCAGATGACATCAAAACATTCTACAGGACAGGGGTCTCCAACCTTTTTCCTCTGGTGAGCTCCTTTTACAAAACAAAAATGCCAGAGAGCTGCTCATTTTAGCGGCCGCAAGAAATTGAGAAGCTTGTCAGAAAGACGGCGAGCCTTTGGGTACAGTTAGATGCCTTCAATAAAAATGGTCACATTAAATCATGACCAATTGTTTTTCTCTGTGACATCTGCTTTATGTGCACACAAAAAAAATGTTCAGCACAATGGTATAATTCTGAAATCCCTTGGCGAGGCTGGAGACCCCTGCTATAGTTCAATATTATTTAATACAGATTTGGATAGGCTAAAATGAGTATTGTTAAAATGTAGATTTCTGTTGCAGTACAGCGGGTTTTTTGGATGTAGTAAATAACAGATGTTCAGTTTCAGCATTTGTGAGTTTACCTTTTGGATATTTGACAACAAAGTACAATATAATCAACAGGGAAATCTGGCTCTTGCCCATCAACACACTGTAGAATCTGAAAAAAAAACAACAGAGTATTCTACGAACACCTTTTTTATGCACATCTATTTGCCAAAAGGAAATAATTCTATCCTGATTTGAAGGATTTTGTGACCAAATGTAAACTTTGGTATTGAACAGAAATGTACAAATAGAACAATCTAATTCATATTCTTCTTTCAAATAATTTTAGCTTCAGTTTCAGGCTCCAACAACAACAGGATTGAAGTGCGATGAACTAGAGCAAGCGGTTCTCAAATTTTTTACAGTGCCATGTAAGATCATATTTGACTTTCCAAATACCACAACTATCCAAAAACCCAAATCCAAACGACATCTGGTCTAATTTGGGCTGCAATAAGACTAAATCATGAATAAGGTAGTTCAAAAATAATAAAAACAGCATCACATAAATTAATTTGCCTCTAAAATAAACACATGACTGCATATACAACCAGAGGAAGCCATGAACCACCAGCATTACACGCCCCACTCTTGAAAACCAAAACTGAACCAAACTATTTCCCACAGAGAAGCACTGGATACAGAAAGCCTCGCTGAAACAATAATAAAAGTCATTAAAACTGTGACATTTGTAATAAAAGCTCTAAAACCACACTCACTCTCCCACAGAAGCACATACAGTGATCCAGCACTGTGAGTCCTGCAGCAGATCACTCAGACTGGAGTCAGTGTAGGGCCGTCTGAGCTCCCACAATGCACTGCTTTAAAATACTTCGCCACAAGTGACCTCACTGCTCACCGCTATTTTGTGTCTGAGGTCAACAACATGAGTCTAAATGATGCCTTCAGGGACCCACAGCCCTCAGAGTTTCACCTTTGTTTTGAAAAAACCTTTGGACTTGGGGAGTTCAAACTTTTATTGTTGGTGAATTTCAAGATCCAGGCTCAGGGATCAGTTGGAAAGAAAAAGTTTAAACATTTAACTTAACTAGAGATATAATGCATTCAGTGTTTTAATGAAAAACTGAATAGCTTATGCAACACGGAATACTTTACTGGTTTCATTACAGCTTAAAATGAGAAAAGAAATTGGCCAGTTTACAATGTCTGAGCCCACTGACCTTTTGACTTGAAATGTTGTTGTTGAAGTGTTATTGTAGTGTATTTAAAGAAACTTCAGTTCTACCCAGTTCAAATTACCTGTATACAAGAAAAGTCATCTCATCTATAGATAATACTTTTGCAGTGTAGATAAATATTTTGATTTCAGATGACATCACGACATTCTTTAGGACAATTGTATTTACAGATGTCCTTCCATTTTCTACCGCTTATTCACAGCCGGGTCGCAGGGGCAGCAGTCTAAGCAGGGACTCCCAGACTTCCATCACCCTGGACACTTCCTCCAGCTCCTCCAAGGGGACCCCCAAGGCGTTTCTCAGGGCCTCCTTCTGGTGAGATGTGCGCAGAATACCTCCCGAGGGCAGCGCCCAGAAGGCATCTGGAACAGATATCTGACCCTCAGCTGCTCCTCTCGATTTGGAGGAGCTGCTCCTCACCCTGTCTCTAAGGAGAGCCCAGCCACCCAGGAGGAAACTAATTTCGGCCGTTTGTATCTGTGATCTCGTCCTTTCAGTCACTACTCAAAGCTCATGACCATAGTGAGGGGAGGAATGTAGATTGAAGGATAAATTGAGAGCTTTGCCTTTTCAACTCAGCTCCCACTTCACCACAACTGTCTGATACAACGACCAATTCACTGCCGATGCTGCACCGATCAACCTGTCAATCTCACACTCCATCCTCCCCTCACTCGTGAACAAGATCCTGAGATACTTGAACTCCTCCACTTGAGGCAGGGACTCTCCACCCACCCAGAGAGGGCAAGCCACCTTTTTCCGGTCACAAACCATGGCATCAGATTTGGAGGAGCTGATCCTCATCCCAGTCACTTTACACTCATCTGCAAACCGCCCCAGTGCACATTGCAAGTCCTGGCTTGATGAAGCCATTAGGACAACATCATCTGCAGAGACGAGATCCGGTGGTACCCGAACCGGACCCCCTCCGGTCCCTGACTGCGCCCAGAAATTCTGTCCATAAATACAATGAACAGAACCGGTGACAAAGGGCAGCCCTGGCGGTGTCCAACATGCACCGGGAACAGGTCTCACTTACTGCCAGCAATGAACACAGCTCCTGCTCTGGTCATACAGGGACCGGACAGCCCTTAGCAAAGGACCCCAAACCCCATACTCCCAGAGCACCCCCAACAGGACACCACGAGGGACACGGTCGAATGCCTTCTCCAAGTCCACAAAGCACATGTGGACTGGTTGGACCGACTCCTATGAACCTCAAGCACCCAATGGAGAGTGTAGATTTGGTCCAGTGTTCTGCAGCCAGGATGAAAACCACACTGCTACTCCTGGATCTGAGGTTTGACTATTGGTCAGATTCTCCTCTCCACTACCCTGGAATAGACCTTTAACAGGGAGGCTGAGGAGTGTGATTCCTCTGTAGTTGGAACACACCCTCCGGTCCCCCTTCTTATACAGAGGGACCACCATCCTGGTCTACCAGTCCAGAGGTACCTTCCCTGACCGCCAAGCGATGTTGAAGAGACATGTCAGCCAAGATCCACAACATCCAGAGACTTAAGATACTCAGGACGGATCTCATCCACCCCTGGAGCCTTGCCACTAAGGAGCTGCCAACCACCTCAATGACTACAGCCAGGGTGATGGACGAGTTTGCCTTTGAGTCCCCAGGCCGTCCGATAGTCCTCCTCCATGGCCTCCCTGAACTCCTCTCAAGCCTGAGGTTTTGCCTCTGTGACTGCCTGGGCTGCAGCATGCTTGGCCCACCGGTACCTGTCAGCTGCCTGAGCAGTCCTACAGCTGCCTGAGCAGTCCTACAAACCAGCAAAAGGCTCAATAGGACTCTTTCTTAAGCCTGACGGCATCCCTTATTTCCAGTGTCCACCACCAGGTTTGGGGATTGCCCCTGCAACAGGCACCACAGACCTTACGCCCACAGCTACGAGTGGCCGCATTGACAGTAGAGGCTGAGAACAAAGCCCACTTGGACTCCCCAGCCTCCCCCAGAATCTGTGAGAAGCCCTCCCGGAGGTGCAAGTTGAAAGTCACCCTGACAGAGGGCTCTGCCAGACCTTCACGATACGCTTGGGTCTGCCATGTCTTTCTGGCTTCCTTCCACATTTTAATTTCAGGCCTGTTTGAGCCTTTGCACATGGTTCTTTTGAATGTTGCGTATTGAGACACAGACTGTCTGAGGTAATAGTGCACCTGAAAATGTCATTCATTCACATTGGCCTATTGGCTCATTTATGTC